GTGGCCTACTTGCACTCACTCAAGATCGTGCACAGGAACCTCAAGGTGAGGCCGGGGACTGGGTGTGACGGCAGACATCCTTGGGGGGCAGGTGGGCAGCACCTTGGGGTCTTTGTCTAGCCTCTCTGGTCCTCACGGAGTCTTTCCCTGCCCACCCCCATGTCATTCCTGCCCGGAGCAGCTGGAGAACCTGGTTTACTACAATCGGCTGAAGAACTCAAAGATCGTCATCAGTGACTTCCACTTGGCTAAGCTAGAGAATGGCCTCATCAAGGAGCCCTGTGGGACTCCTGAGTACCTGGGCAAGCAGGGGGTGGGGCAGGGGCAGGGTGGGAGACAGCCTTCAAGGAGTGGCTCTGGATGGGGCGGGGGGTGGGGCTGAGGAAGTCTGTAGCCCAGGAAGTGGGTATGAGTGGTCCCAGGCCTCGCCAGGCTCGATACTGACCAGCTGGTGGACGCTGTGTTTGTAGCCCCGGAGGTGGTAGGGCGGCAGCGGTATGGACGCCCTGTGGACTGCTGGGCCATTGGAGTCATCATGTACATCCTGTGAGTGAATGGGCAGGCACACAGGCTTTCAGTCAGGCCGGGTGGGGTCCTGTGCCCATGGCCTTCCTGGGTGAACCTGCCCTTTGGCTCTCATGCAGACTTTCAGGGAACCCACCCTTCTACGAGGAGGTAGAGGAAGATGACTATGAGAACCACGACAAGAACCTCTTCCGCAAGATCCTGGCTGGCGACTATGAATTTGACTCTCCATATTGGGATGATATTTCACAGGCGGGTGAGGAGGTGCCCAGCGTGTGGGTAAAGGGAAGGGTTGGTGTGGGGGACCTGCTCTTAGCCTTCTCTGCTGGACTCTGCTCCTACCTCCCAGCCCATTCATCACCCCTAGACAGTGAGATGAGGTGCGCATGCCTAGCCTCTCCCTGGCTTTGTCCCCAGCCAAAGACCTGGTAACAAGGCTGATGGAGGTGGAGCAAGACCAGCGCATCACCGCAGAAGAGGCCATCTCCCATGAGTGGTGAGCAGGGCCCGTGGAGGACAGAAGGAGAGGCCAGGTTTCCCTTGGCTTCTGTCCTCCTTGCATCTTTGAGTAGGGACTGGGGGTGCCCAGAGCGTGGGCCCATCCCAGAGGGCCTGTCTGGTAACCTCTGGACCTTAAGAGAAGAGGGCTGGGCAATCTCCATGAAGGCCTCTACCGCCTCAGATCCAGATGCACTTGCACCCTTTCTAGGATTTCTGGCAATGCTGCTTCCGACAAGAACATCAAGGATGGGGTCTGTGCCCAGATTGAAAAGAACTTTGCCAGGGCTAAGTGGAAGGTAAGACTTGGATGACTCCCTTTCCTGGACTGATCCCAAGAGCTCTTTCTGGCACACACAGTGTCTTACTTGTATCACACCCCTGCAGCCACACAAAAGCGTTTCTTCAACCATCGGTTGTGGATGTAGCCACTGTCACTGCCTTAAGTGGGTGTGTGAACAGCTGGGTCCCTGGCCTGCTCCCCTGGGGTAGTCTGAGGCTTTGGCTCAGAAGGGTCTGGCTTTGACTCTTGCCAAGGAACAGATCTGGCTTCTGTAAGCCTCACTCCGGGCCTCTCTCCGCTGTCCTCCTTTCAGAAGGCTGTCCGAGTGACCACCCTCATGAAACGGCTCCGCGCACCAGAGCAGTCCGGCACAGCAACAGCCCAGTCTGCCCCAGCCACAGACACTGCTGCCGCTGGGGCTGCAGGTGGGGTCGCAGCTGCAAGTGGGGCTGCCCCAGCCCTTGGGGGCAGTGCCACCTCAGCCATAGCGGGTGCTGCTGCTCTTGCCGCAAAGAGCGATGATATAGGCCCCGCAGACCGTAGTGCCACCCCAGCCACCGATGGCAGTGTCACTCCAGCCACCGACGGCAGTGTCACCCCAGCCACCGACGGGAGCATCACCCCAGCCACCGATGGGAGCATCACCCCAGCCACTGATAGGAGTGTTACTCCAGCCACTGATGGGAGAGCCACACCAGCCACGGAAGAGAGCACCATGCCCACCACCCAAAGCAGTGTCACACCAGCCACCAAGGCAGCTGCCACCCCTGAGCCGGCTTTGGCCCAGCCGGACAGCACAGCCCCTGGGGGCACAACAGGCCAGGCCCCGCCCTCTAGTAAAGGGGAAGAGGCTGCTGGCTATGCCCAGGAGTCTCGGAGGGAGGAGACCAGCTGAGTGAGCAGGCTGGTGTGGGGCAGGGGGCGGGCAGGAGGGTGGGAGAGTGGATGAGGGGCTTCTCACTGTACATAAGAGTCACTGGCATGATGCCCTTGCTCCCTCCTGCCCCTGCCTCCCAGTGTGGGGCATGTCTGGGGGCCACGGGAGAGCAGTCTCATCTCCTGTGTGTATGTGCGTGAGTGGTGGGCAGGCCAGAGGCAGGACCGGCCCCAGCCCCTGCATGGATTCCTTGTGGCTTTTCTGTCTTTCGCTAGCTTCACCAGTTTCTGTTCCTTGCGGGATGCTGCTCTAGGGATATTCAGGAGGTCCCTGCTCCCTTTCCCCTTCCCTTTTTGCCTCATGATTTCCCCAGGCAGGCCCTGCAGGTCCCATCCTCTCCCAGGCCCTAAACTTGGGTGGCCTTGCCCTGAGAGCTGGTCCTCCAGCGAGGCCCTGTCAGCGGTCTTAGGCTCCTGCACATGAAGGTATGTGCCTGTGGTATGTGGGCTGCTCTAAGAATGGACACAGGCTGGTAGAGAGAATGTATAAATCTAGGGCAGTATGCTTTAAGACAAGACTGGTCGCATGGTTGGAGGCACTGCTTGGTAGCTTTGGGGGTCCTCAGAAGTGAAAGAGAATGAGTAGGGGGGTAGAAAAGTCCACCTTTGTTCCTGGAAATTTCCCACCAATACCCTTGTGCTATTTCCTGCCCTCCTGGGTTCTGCAGTGGGTTGCCCTGTGCCCTGAGCTTCATAAGCCTGTCAGGGGAAGAAGGAACAGTTCAGGATGTGGAAATGAAAACTGTGAAGGCAGCGTGCAGGCCCAGTACCTAGTGCACTGGCCTAGCTGGGTCCTTACCCTGAGCCAGACAGGGAGGGCTGATACCCCTTGGCTCCTCTCTGTTGGTGTCCCTCAGGCTACGGCTATGGTCGTCTCCATCCCAGGGGGCCTGCTGCATGGCAGTGTCCTATAGTCTGATTTGGGGATTTGCCCTTCACAGGGGCAAATTTCTGCTCTCCTAATTCAAAAATAAAAGAGGAACTTCCCCCCTCCCCCCATGTCTGTGACCCATTTCCCCTTCTGTCAGGGCTTAGAGAGAGAGGCCCAGGTGCCTCTGAGCTATGCTGAGTTGCTTTTCCTGGGATGAGAAAGTGGAATAAGGCTCCCCAGTTTCCTGATGGAGGCTCCTGGCAGGTGCCCTTTGTCAGACCCCACCACAGTTTGGGCAGGCAGCCACACTGGTCCCGGCCTTTGCTCGGCACTCCAGTGGCAGTCCTGCCCTCCTCCCTGCATGCCTGTGGGTCTGCTCTGGTGTATGAAGGTCGGTAGGCTAACTGTGTGCCTGCTGAACCTGGCAAATAAATGTCACCCTGCCAAAGCCTCTGGCCATCCTCTTGCCTTTGCTTCCTCTGTCTTACTGGGGAGGGGCCTCTGAAAGGCAATGGGGAGGGAAGAGGCTGGGAGCAGGTTCACAGGTCTGCTAAGTGCCATGAGGATTGCTTAGGCTGAGAGTACAGATCATTCTTTACCATTGTGTGTTCCTTGATTGTGGTGGCGGGTCCTCTGGACTCCAGAAATCCACGTGGGTGGTGGCCCCTGACCTGGGCTTGTGCCAACGAAAAATCTCTGGACTGCTGTTCTGACAAGTCCTATTGAACAAGGAGCCCTTGTCTTGACTTAGGCATACAACTGAATCTCACCACGAACCAGCTACCATAGAGAGAGACCTTGCCCATAGCCAAAGTGGGCTTCCTTGGGTTGGGGAGAGGGTGCAGGGTGGGCAGTGCACAAAGGTTCTATGCTGCCCTTTGTGTCGATTCCTCCTCCTTGTGAAGAATGCCTGTCCTTTCCACATAGGCCCAAAGAACTTCACTCTGGGTCTACTTCAGGTGGAACAAATCAGCTTTAGATCATGGGGCTCTACATAAGGTTTCTTCTGTGGAGAAAGTAGTAACGCTGCTAAAAATTGTTAAGCATGAAAACTTCCAGGAAGATTTGTTCCAGTCCTGACTGGCCCAAGTGAATACACCAGGGATGCTGCTCTTTCTCAGGGAGGACCCCAAAGATAACTTCTCTGATGTGGTAATCAATAAAAGGGTTTGTTAGTCCCTGGTCTACGAAGCATCTGGGCCTTCAAAATTCTAACCCCACTACGGTCCAGAGGCATGCTGATCCTCCTGGGAGCTAAGAGCTGAAGTCAGGGTACTGGCCCTGCCGCCTCCAAACTTAGGGATCATCATGCCTTGCTTGGATAAAGCCAGAGTAAGCTCGGGGTGTCCTGAGGGGTTAGGACCTGTGTGCATCTTTCTAGGACCACTCAGAGCTGAGGGCTGAGAGAGTGGGGCGTTCTTTTAGTCTGTGGGAACTATGGGCTTCGGGGCGTATGGCCGGGCATTGCCCGGAGCCCAGGAGACCGCTCTCCATCGGGACAACTGTCCCATTTCCCTATGGCTTCGGTCTTCTCGACTCTCCCGAGATGCAGAGAAGCCTGCCCTAATAGAACAGGGCTGAGGAGCCCGTGCCGGGCGCGCTTCGCACCAGATCTGGCTTCGGACCATAATGTCTTATCTTGCCCCACAAAGGGGCCAGCCGGCGCCATAGCTACTGCGGATACCTGCCGAATCCTTCCGGGAGCTACTGGAGAGCTACCACTGACAGATCAGTCTCGCGCTCAGCCCCAGGAATCTCTTCGGTCGTTAAGCCCCGCCCCCATGGCTCGTCCAATCCAGACCCAGCTCCCGGGCTCCGCCTCCACGTACCTTATCACCACTTCCGGTTCGCTCCCGGAAGTTGCGCTGTGGAGCCAAATTTGAAGCCCGCGGGGACGCGGGGGCGCGGCCGCGAAGCTGGACCTGTCGAGGTTTCCTTGGCTGCCTGATCCCCTTTAGATCAGTCGTCATGCCTATCCGTGCGCTGTGCACCATCTGCTCCGACTTCTTCGACCACTCCCGAGATGTGGCCGCCATCCACTGCGGCCACACCTTCCATCTTCAGTGGTGAGTGACCACAGTGGCGGGGCCGGGCTCTCGGCCTTGTACGGCTACAGAACTCGGGGGTGTTGGGTCCCCCGGCGGAGCCCAGACAGGTGATTAAGACGGCACTAGACTGATTCCCACGGTAGGTACCCGACCTGAGCAGAGGCGGGTCTGGGCAGGCTTCCCGGAGGAGGTAACAGCTGAATTGAGTCCAGGGAAACAGAGTTGGTTCGGTGAAGTTAAAGTAGGGGCTTCCTTGATCCGCTAGCAGAGAGATGTGACTTCAAAATTATTAGTCCGGGCAGAGGTGACTTTCGCCAAATTAACGAGGGCTTTTATTTCTTTGAGATAACCTGGTAGGCCTCTGGCTATCCGACTTGTGGTTTGGTTGATGGTTTGGGATTATTCCACCCAGAGTCATCTCGTTGGTCGGACTCAGTGTATTCACTGACGCCAAGAATATCAAGATAACGTGGAAGGAAGGGCAAGGGGGCACCTGGATGGCTCAGTTGGTTAAGCACCTGCCTTCGACTCAGGTCATGATTTCAGGGCCCTGGGACGGAGCAAGTCTGCTTCTCCCTTGCCCTCTGTGATCTCTCTCTCTCTCTCTCTCAAGTAAGTAAATAAAATCTTAAAAAAAAAAAAAAAAAAAAAAAAACAGCCAAACAAACATGGAGGGCAAGGAGGTGCTCCCTAATCCAGCCATCCTACTGACCCTTTGAATGTACAGCTGGTGAGGAAAGATTCCCTTAGCATCTGTGGACTGGCTGATTCAGAGCTCTTTTTTTAAAGTGAAATATAATTGACATACCATATTATATTAGTTTCAGTTGCACAACATATTGATTTATCAATTCTGTACAATAGTCGATGCTTACCACGATTTAATTGTGGTCACTGTCTGTCACTATACAGCAGTATTTTTTAAAAGATTTTATTTATTTATGGGGCACCTGGATGGCTCAGTTGGTTTAGTGACTGCCTTCATCTCAGGTCATGATCCCAGGGTCCTGGGGTCCAGCTCCCCATCAGGCTCCCTTCTCAGTGGGGAGTCTGCTTCTCCTTCTTCCACTCCCTCTGCTTGTGCTCTCTCTGTCTAATTAATTAATTAATTAATTAAAATATTTTATTTTTTTATTTGAGAGAGAGAGTGAGAAAACTGCAGAGGGAGAGGGAAAAGCAGACTCTGCTGCGCAGGGAGTCCAGTGTGGGGTTTGATCCCAGGACCCTGGGATTCTGACCTGATGGGAAGGCAGACACCCAACCTGCTGAGCCACCCAGGCACCCACCATACAACAGTATTATTGATCATATTTCCTACGCTTTCCTTTTCATCTCCATGACTTATTTATTTGTTTGTTTGTTTGTTTTTTAAATTATTTTATTTATTTATTTGACAGAGAGATCACAAGTAGGCAGAGAGGCAGGGAGAGAGAGAGGAAGGGAAGCAGGCTCCCTGCTGAGCAGAGAGCCCGATTCGGGGCTTGATCCCAGGACCCTGGGATCATGACCTGAGCTGAAGGCAGAGACTTTAACCCACTGGGCCACCCAGGCACCCCATGACTTATTTATTTTATAACTGGAAGTTTGTACTTCTTAATTCCCTTTATCTATTTCCAGAACTTTTCCATCATTCCAAACAGAAACTGTATCAATAAATGACAACTCTCCATTATCCCTCGTCCCCATTGCCCCCCAAACCTCTATTTTACCCTCTCTCTCCTTGAATTTTCCTATTCTGGGTATCTTGTGTAAGTGGAATCATACAGTATTTGTTCTTTTGAGTTTTGCTTACTTCACTAAGCATAATGTTTTCAAGGTTCATCCATGCTGTAGCATGTATGAGAATTTCATTCCTTTTATGACTAAAACTCGATTGTACGGGAATACCACATTTTTTTTTTTTTAAAGATTTTATTTATTTATTTGACAGAGAGAGATCACAAGCAGGCAGAGAGGCAGGTAGAGAGAGAGGAGGAAGCAGGCTCCCTGCTGAGCAGAGAGCCCAATGCGGGGCTCGATCCCAGGACCCTGAGATCATGACCTGAGCCGAAGGCAGCGGCTTAACCCACTGAGCCACCCAGGCGCCCCGGAATACCACATTTTATTTATCCCTTCATCTGTTAAAGGATGTTGGGTTGTTTCCGTGTTCTGGCTACTATGAATAATGCTACAATGAACTGGTATAAAAGTATCTGTATAAGTGCCTGCTTTCCTTTTGGGTTACATCCAGAGGTGAGATGACTGGATCATATGGTAATTCTATGTTTAATTTTTTGAAGAACTGCTTTACTGTTTTCCACATTAACTGCACCATTTTACATCCCCAGCAGCAATGCACAAGGGTCCAATTTCTCTACATCCTTGTCAACACTTGTTATTTTCTCGTTTGTTTTTTTTTATAATAGTTATCTAATGGGTATTTTTTTTTAATGTGTGTGTGTTTACAGCTATCAACTTCCCTTTTAGCATGCTTTCACTGAATTCTGTAAGTCTTGGTATGTGGTCTTTTCATTTTCACTCATCTCAAGGTATTCTCTAATTTCCTTTATGATTTCTTCTTTGATCCATCAGTTATTTAAGAGTGTGTTAATTTCCATGTATTTGTGAATTTTCCAGTTTTTTTTTTCTGTTACTGGTTTTCAGTTTCATTCCATTGTGATCAGAAAAAACACTTTGTATGATTTTAATCTTTTAAAATTTATTGGTACTTGTTTTGTGGCCCAACATATGTTCTATCTTGGAGAATGTTCCGTGTGCACTAGAGAAGAATGCATACTCTGCTGTGATTGGGTGGAGTATTTGTGTGTTAGATCTAGTTGGTTTATGTTGTCTCAGTCCTCTATTTCCTTATGATTACCTGTGTGATGATTCTATCCATTATTAAAAGTTTGGGTTATTGACCTCTTCAACTTTTATTGTATAGCTGTCTATTTCTCTCTTGAATCCTGTCCAATTTTCTTCCATATATTTTTTTTGGCTCTGTTGTTAGGTACATGTGTGTTTATAATTGTTATTTCTTCTTGTTGGATTGTACCTTTTATCAATATATAAAGTCCTTCTTTGTTTTTTGTACCTTTTTTAACTTGAAGTCTATTTTGTCTGACAATAACATAGCACTTCAGCTCTCTTTTTGTTACCATTTTTTTACTTATCCTGCTTGGGATTCATTATGGTTCTCTAACTTGTGGAATGGTTTCTGTAATTAGTTTTGAAAAATTATCAGCCATTATCTTTTCAGGTCTTGTCTCTAGTTTATTACCTGTTTTCTTTTCATATTAGTTTCTCATTTGTTATAACAAATTACTACTAACTTGGTGGTTTAAAACAACACAGATTTACTATCTTGCAGTTCCAGAGGTCAGAAGTCCAAAATGGGTTTACCAGGTTATAGTCAATGTTTGTAAGTAGATATATGCTTTTCTTAGCTCATGGCCCCATTTTCCATCTTCATTTCTCTCTGTATGACTCTGACACCCCTGCTTCACTTAGGGACCCTTGTGATTACATGGGGGCACACCTGGATAATCTCCCTGTCTCAAGGTTTTTGTTTATTTGTTTGTTTGTTTTAAGATTTATTTATTTATTATTTTTTAAAAAAGATTTTATTTATTTATTTGACAGAGATCACAAGTAGGCAGAGAGGCAGGCAGAGAGAGAGGAGGTAGCAGGCTCCCTGCTGAGCAGATAGCCCTATGCGGGGCTTGATCCCAGGACCCTAGGATCATGATCTAAGCTGAAGGCAGTGGCTTTAACCCACTGAGCCACCCAGGACCTAACATGGAACCTAATATGGGGCTCTATCCCTGATTCCCCTGGGATCAGGACCTGAGCCGAAGGCAGACGCTCACTCGCAGACACTCAACCGACTGAGCCACCCAGGACGCCCCCTGTCTCGAGATCCTAAATCACATCTGCAAAATTACTATTGTCATATAAGGTAAAATATTCACAGTTTTGAGAAATTAGGGTATAGACTTCTTGGGGAATGTGCATAATTCTACCTAATACTTTTTTTTTGGAACTCCTTATTATATGTATGCTAGAGCTTTTCACATTATTTTCTAGATCTTTTACCATCTCATATATTTTTCTTTTTGATTCTTAGTGTTTTTTGTGACCTGTCTTTTCATTTTACTAATTCTTCAACTGTGCGTAAACTGCCATTAAACTCATCCATTGAATTCTTAATTTTGGCCATTTTTTATTTTTGAATTTCTGTTTGGTTCTTATTAAATTCTGCCATGCCACCTTTTATTCTGTAGTTCTCTACTGATATATTTTTTTCTTTTCTAAGATAAACTCTACCCCTACCACAGGGCTCAAACTCAAAACCCCAAGATCAAGAGTCACATGCTCTACCGACTGAGCCAGGCACCCCTCTACTGATATTTTCAGTCTTGATCTTTATTTCCTTAGCATGCTGTGTTACATTGTGTCTGACAATTCCCATATCTGAAGTCTTTGTGTGTATGTTCTGGTTTGCATGCGTAGTGCTTTTTCCCTTGCCTATTTGCTTTTTTAAAAAACTAAAACGGGAGCACCTGGGTGGCTCAGTGGGTTGAGCCTCTGCCTTCGGCTCAGGTTGTGATCTCAGGGTCCTGGGATTGAGCCCCGAATCGGGCTCTCTGCTAGGCAGGGAGCCTGCTTCCCTACCTCTCTCTCTGCCTGCCTCTTTGCCTACTTGTGATCTCTCTCTCTCTCTCTGCCAAATAAATAAATAAAATCTTAAAAAACAAACAAACAACCTAAAACATTTACTTTACGTAATTGGAGTCATACATAATATATCTTTTGTATCTGGCTTCTCTTCCTCCATGTTATGTGTATGTGATTCATCCATAATGTTGTTCTTAGATGTAGACTCATTCTCATCGCTGTACCTGGGTACCTTTGAATTTATCTCATGCCTAATATATGGAAAAGTATTTAAAGAAAAAAACAAGCCTGGGATGATGATATTACCTTCCAGAAAGGACTCTGCTTCTCCCTGGTCCCTGGTGGGAGAGTCTACTAGTAGGAGACTAATTAGAGTTTAAGGCTTGAGGTTTTGTTGGACCACTCAGATAGATGAGGTGAAGCTGGACTGTGTTTTGCTTTTACCACAACTTGCATTTACTTCTAGTGTACCCTTACTCTGAAAGTGTAGCCCTTTGGAGTCCTAGCTTAAAGTGGGGGTGTTATTGGAATCCCTATCTTTGAGGGACCCTGGGCTTTGGCTGCTGCTCCGTCCTAGTCAGAGCCTGGAATGTTGACAAAAGAGCAGCTCGGGTCAGGACGGCCACACCAACAGGGCCAAAAAAGGGCCGACTGGTCAGAGTGTTTGTACCAGTGAGGCCCCATGGGATGTGCTGTCCCACTGTGATACTACACTCCTTTGTGGTCAGGCATCAGGTTGAGGAGGAATAAGTCAAACGCTGTTGTGGTCAGGGTGACTGCCTGGCCTGTACGTCTCTGCCCAAGCAAGGGCTCACCAGTCTGCTTCTCTTCTTCCCATTCCAGCCTAATTCAGTGGTTTGAGACAGCACCAAGTCGGACCTGCCCACAGTGTCGAATCCAGGTGAGGGTGATGGGGTAAAAACACCTTTTCCTTGCCGGGGAGGAGGAATGAGAAAAAATCTCTGAAACTGAACAATATCTGACCTTTTCGGACTCTCATGGTTTGAGGCTGATTAAGCCTAACTTGTGCTTTTGAGTGGCTCAGGAGACCTACTTGTGTCCAAGAATAGCTGGCAGATGGACTTGTTGCCCGGGCTGGTCTTCACCTAGCTAAATTTGACCTCCTTCCTTGCCTTTCCCCATCCTCAGTGCCCAGCACCTAGAGTTGATCTGTCTTTTGAACAGTTACCACATGGGTCTATGGTGACATGACTTCAGAAACCACCAAACGAGTGGCACCAGCGTGGAGCACCTGTAGGGTTACAGAGCTCATCTGATTCCAAGTGATGTGCTGTGAAAAGTTAGGCCTGAGAACAGTCCTGGCTCCATGTTAAGCAGCATGTCCATTCCTGTCGGCCTTGCACATGACCCAGCTATACAGTCATACTCTCTCTTGTCCTTTCATCCAGGTTGGCAGAAGAACCATTATTAATAAGCTCTTCTTTGACCTTGCCCAAGAGGAGGAGAGTGTCTTAGATGCAGAATTCTTAAAGGTACCTGGGATTTATGTCATTCTACTGCACTGCAAGCCCTCTGAGAATTTACTCTCTGTTCCCTCCCAGGGTGGGTGTGTAAACTGTGGAGATAGAGTCTAGAGGGAGATTTGTAGAGGTTTCAAGGCAGAGGGGAAGAGAGCAAAGGAAAAGTGATGATAAAGACCCAGTCATTGGAGAGATACACTGTTGGGGAAGAAGGGAGCCACGTGACTGTGAGCCTTTACTGTTGGGATTTCAGAGCGATTCCCACCAAAGGCCAGAGTGTCTCTCCTGAGGTTCTCTCACCTCGTGGAGGTTGTGCAGCCATACTTCCCAGCCCACCTTGCTGCTTGGACCGCTAGAAACCGATCAGAAAACTCTTCTAGTCCTCAGCCACGGAGGATGTGTGGACCCACTATTCACAAACCTGGCTGTGACTCAAAACTGTGGGGAAGCTTGGTATATATGCAGTTGCTCGAGTCTTTCCAGAACCAGGAATGGAGGGCAGAACCACTGGAATCAGGATGTGAGCCAGAGCAGAAACCCACCATTCCTCCTATACTTCTTCCCTTCAAGTCCAAGATTTAACTTTCTTTGTGTACCGGGGGGACTGAATTGGTCAAAACCTCTTGAGGAAGTGGGATTGGGATTCACAATGCACCTGGACACGAGGGTTCATTTGCTGGGCATCTGTCAGCCCAGGGTTCATTTGGCCTTGGCCCCGGGTTGCTGTGATGTCCTTGGAACCTTCCTGCTTCAAGAACGTGGAGCTTTTGTGCTTAAAGCCAGCACGTTCATCGTCATGGTAACTGCTCCTGGTTTTAAGCTGCGTCTTCCCTGTGATAAAGACAACAAAGGCAGCTTCCTTTCTTTCTGGCTTTCAAAGCCAGATCTAAGAGACAGAGAGGCAGCATCTTGAGTAGTCTGGAGCACGGGCTTGCAGGCACCTTGCTTAAGTGTAGGAGGCAGGCAACTTGGGGGAGCTTTGGGTTGGTGTCTGTTCTCTGGCAGCCCATGCATGCCCTTCTCTACCCACCATTTGCTCTCCAGGATATTCTGCCAACACGGAGCCACCCAGCCACCAAAAGCTTTTGTCCTGGAGTCCTGGGTGGGGGATTTTGACAGAAGGGAGCTCATCCCTCTACTGAGGCTGGTCTTTAGTATTGGTCACCAGTGAAATTCTGAGTCTCATGCTGACCTGGAAAGGGTGATCTGGGGGAAGCTTTGCCTGAATTCCATCCGGCACCACCATGAACCCTTGGTCAAGCCTTTCAGTTCTACAGTGCCTGGTTTTCCTGCTTATGGAAAACTTCTCTTGCCCATGGGGGTGTTGAGTGCTCCGAACTCCTGAATGGGAGCTGGACTCATTTCTGCCCCAGCCTCTCAGTGGCTCTGTGGCAGTGGCTCTGTAACTTAACGCCCGGGCTTTGAGAGGTTCATTTGACCCTCACAATAGTCTGGTTAGAGCCTAGCACGTGTGAGGTTTCATCCAGAGACACGAAGTTGTCCTAGCTTACCTACTTTATTAGGGTTGGAAGATTCATGGTACACAGAGCCAGCTCAGAGCTTGGAGAGAAGTAGACTGTGGAGCAAGCAGGACCCGGGGTAGAGGGAAGGAGTGGTGACCCAAGGTCCTTAGCCCTCCCAACTCTGTGTCCCCAGTCAGTAAAGCCCAGAGAGTGTAAGGGCCAGCACAGGGCCAAGGAAGTGATGGAAGCCTCTGCTGTGAGACTGATCCCGCAGGTCCAACTTCACTTCTCTTGCCCCTTTCTGGCCCCTCTCTTGCCCTGTTCTGCCTCCTTCCCTGTCCCAGGGTCTTGTACTTGAGATCATTTTCCTCCATCTTACCTACTTTTTAAAAAAAGCATGGAGCACTGGGTGTGGTACAAAAACAATGAATACTGTTATGCTGAAAATAAATTTTAAAAAATGATTAAAAAAAAAAGAACAGAGATAAAAAAGCAAGATGTATCTCTCCACTGTGGGCCTAGCTTGGCCATGACATATATCAGGGTCTGTGCCTCCCTGGACCTGCAGGCCTCATTGTCCCCTCCTGGATCTCCCTGCGAGCCTTTGGGATGCTGTGTGGAAGCCAGGTATGATGCCTTTCTGCTTCTTATTGTGGATATTGCCTTGTAGAATGAACTGGATAACACCAGAGCCCAGCTTTCTCAGAAAGGTGAGTTAGTAAGAGGCAAGGGGTCCTGGGAAGCCCCTGACCTAGGTGCTTGGGGGAGAGGCCCTGGGAAAAATGGTTCCAGCCTTCTGGTAAAGCTAGGGGCTCTCCCTGCTTTGTACAGCCAAGGGTTTTGCCAGCTCTTGTGATTGGCAGGAAAGGGGAAGAAAGGGAGGTGCCTCAAGCTGTGCACCTAGGCCCGATGAGCTTTCTCTCTTTGTCTGAGGACAAAGAGAGAGCCCCAGGACTGGGGCTGGGAAGGGACTACCAAATGGGACAGACTATTTCTAGGAGAGAGTTTGGCTGCTGAGTTTCGTAGGAAACCTGCTTGAGTTCTAAGATGATGAATTAACTAGACTCTTGGGAGTGGAGAGCAGTGAAATCTTTACTCAAGTAGTTCTAAGCAGCAGAAAGAGGGTCTCATTCCATGCATGAAGAGACTCTGGCTTAGCTTCCCTGGCTTGGTGTGTGCCAGAGAGAGAAGCAGGCCACCCAACTTGCTGACCAGAGACTTGTTCCTTACGTGGTTCTGGGGTGTGGTGCTGGAGCCCAAGGGCTCAGGTTCTTACACTGATGAGTGAACAGGCCTTCCCCCTTCTCACCCCTGCTGCAGAGAAGGAGAAAAGGGACAGTCAGGTCATCATTGACACCCTGCGGGACACGCTGGAAGAGCGCAACGCCACTGTGGAATCCTTGCAGAAGGCCTTAGACAAGGCTGAAATGCTGTGCTCCACCCTGAAGGTGGGTCCCCAGGTTCTGTGGGCACAAGTCAGTTGGGCTCATCTTCTGCTTCTGCCTTGGTCATGACCTCCGTTTGTGCTGTTATAAAATGGAGGCAAATCCCTTCTTCCCCAGGCCACCCATATTGTACCCATCCAGCCCGTAAACAAAGGGTCACATTGGCTGTGCTTACAGATTTTGCGCCAGGTAGTATGAAGAGGTGAGGCCTTCCCGGCGCTTCTCGGAGGGTCAGCTCAGCCAAGACCTCAGTGAGGCTGGACCTTGTTTCCAAAAGTGGTTTGTACTCCACTGATGAAGCCAGACTGAGGAACCTTCCATTAACACTCTAGTCCTTGGCTGGGCTGCTCTCTGGAGCCAGATCAAACAGCATCCCAGGGAGGAGCAGGGGGCCTTTGAAGTCAGATGTGCTGAGCTGACCGGGCAGATCAAAGCCTGCAGAGCAAGGCGCTCTAGACCCAGATGAATTTTGTATCAGGCTGGGTTGGTGAGCCTCTTGCTCTCTAAGGGGCATGAGGCGATTGATCTGAACCTGCAGTTGATGTTCTGGCCTCGTAAGAAGGAGCAGTCCTTGCTGGATGCCATTTGAAAGGGAATGGGAGCCATCTTTGTGAACAGACAGAGCCCCAGGGTGTTCGTTGTCTCTGTTCCTGCTTGGTGGCTGGGCTGGATCACCTGGCGTGGCCCGTGGGAGGGAAGGAGTGAATCAGTACTTGACCGCAGAGCGGGCATCTTCGATGACATTCCCAGGTCAGAGATGGAGTGCTTTTGTGCTGAGGGCAGCCTGGCCCACTGCCTCTGGTCCAGCTCTCCTATCCTGATGGGTAACTGTCCTTGGGTCTAGATGATGGATAATGAGACCTGGATTTGTGTTTCTTCAGCTGCATACACGACATGCACCCTGAGCCCTTAAGCCATGGGACCTCAGCAGCCCACAGTGGGCCTCTAGATAGTGGGATGTGCCTGGGTTAAGACACATCTCAGGAGGAAGCAAGCAGGGAGGTGAAGGAGCAGCTGGTGTAGGGCGTCAGAGCAGAAAAAACACAAGCCAGAATGGGGCCCAGGAGCCTTTCTCCCACGGGACTGGGGACACACGGTTATTGGCATTTGGAAAAGTGGACAGTTCCAGAGTAGAGTTTTCAGGATGACTTTAGCTGTGGTGCCTGGGATCCTCCAAGCGACAGGTGGGCATGGGTGTGTTTGCTGTGCAGAAGCAGATGAAGTACTTGGAGCAGCAGCAGGATGAGAGCAGGCAAGCCCAGGAGGAGGCACGCCGACTCAGGACCAAGATGCGGACCATGGAGCGGTGAGCCTGACGCTGGGACCACCCTCAGCTCATTCCTCCAGCCCCGGGCCCAGCTCTTAGGACTGCAGTGGGGCTTGGATCACTTCCATGGCTCAAATCTCCATCCGTCATGTGGAGCTCAGGCCAGCGGGGGGTCCTCACTCGGCCTCAGGGGGCTCCTCCACTTGCCACGAGGCCCCTGGCCTCAGTCTTCCCCCTTTCTGTTGCCCGTGGCCCAGTGACCTGGCAGGTCTTTGGCTCCAGAGACCCTTCTCCAGGGATCCCTGATCTTGAGGACCTGTCAGCACCCGTTCTTCCCCAGCAGCATCCCTGCAGCTACGTTCAGCTCTGTTGCGGGGCCTTTCTTTGAGTAGACCCGCCTGCTAAAGCATGCTGGCAGGCCAGGCTGTCACCATAGCAACAGCAGCAAAGGAGAGCAGAGCTGCACTGGGTACCTACCCATCAGCCTCCAGATTCTAAATGTCGTGGGCTGGGTGTTTTTCAGGATTGAGCTCCTGCTCCAGAGCCAGCGACCCGAGGTGGAGGAGATGATCCGAGACATGGGTGTGGGACAGTCAGCGGTGGAGCAGCTGGCTGTGTACTGCGTGTCCCTCAAGAAGTGTGTACTCTGGCCCCTGTGGCCCAGTCCAGGAGCTAAGCCATGGCACCCTCTCTGTTGCCCATCTCTTACAAAGCAGAGCAGGCTGAGTAAAGGGGCAGGCTCTGGAGCTATCCTGCCTCAGTTGAACCATGACCCCACCTCTCACCATGTGGCTAGGAGTCAATTTCTTAGCCTCTGACCAGCTTCCTGCGTGGGGATAGTAATAACTTGCCTCATTGGGTTACTGAGAGAATGAGTGTGAAGGGAAGTGTTATTCTTTTTTTATTTTTAGATTTTATTTATTTATTTGACAGAGATAGCAAGAGAGGGAATACAAGCAGGGGGGATTTGGGAGGGAGAAGCAGGCTCCCCACTGAGCAGGGAGCCCCTTGTGGGGCTTGATCCAAGGACTCTGGGATTACAGCCTGAGCTGAAGGCAGATGCTTAACTGACTGAGCCACCCAGGCACCCCAGAAGTGTTATCGCTAAGCAGACTGGCACCATTCTCTGAGCTATAAGCCCCATCATGATAAATGGAGCCTGTTTCCCATCAGCACTTACCGACTCTGCCTAACTTGAATCAGAAACTTTGCTCAGATTCGCCACTGCTGTGGATGTGAGGTTGTGGAAAGGGGCCACATGGCTGACAGGTGCAGAGGATCCCAGATGTCTCCAGTGAGGGCCAGGTGCTATAGGGGCCTCTTCCTGAGACCCTAGTGAGGGCGAGGCTTTCTGCATACCCTCTCCAATCACCAGGGCCTGCAGGACAGGCAGGGAACAGAGACTCCCCCCGCCCCTTGCAGGACCCTCCGCAGCCCCACCCTGTTGGGCTCAGGGGTCAGAGTAGGGAGGAGACCTGGCTGAGGGGACAGCCTGGGCTCTATGTTTGTTTGGTGCCAGGGTGCAGTCTGACCAGCAGGGTGCCCCATTCTGACATCCCTTTTCCTGGCTCCCTCATAGAGAGTATGAGAATCTCAAAGAAGCTCGGAAGGCCTCAGGGGAGCTGGCGGACAAACTGAAGAAGGACTTGTTTTCTTCCAAAAGCAAGGTAACAGTGGGGAACCAAAGGTGAGGGGCGTGGTGGCTATCCTTTTGTCGTGCTGGTTCCTGTCTCCTGAGCACAGGCGTGGGCCCTGATGGTGCAGCAGACTCCATGGGGCCATTGGGTGGCCCACAGGGACTGGTTACTGGGCCCCAGCTCTGGCTCTGTGGCTTGTCCACTTAGGGTAGCTGGTCACGCAGGCATGCCCCCCACCCCCGTACATGTACATTCACTATGCCCTCTATTCTCTCTGGCCTCTGGCACCTCTCAGCTGGCTGGAGAGCACAGATCCTGAATGTGACAGTGTCAGAGGCCTGCTTTTGTTCCAGGCCCAGAGTAAGAGGAACATACTTGGAACCCGGTTCTTTCAGCACAGCTGCTTTATCTCTGGGCCTGGTGCCTCCATGGGATGTTGGGTGTAGAACACAGCCCTAGTTCCCAGGCAGCTCCAGATGGACACGGACAGGCCCCACAAAGTCAGGGTCTCCCCGTGTGTCCTCAGACTCTTCTGGACCCGGGGCTCCCGTGAGCGTGCGCTGGGCAGTAGCAGGTGGGGGCAGAGCACGCGGCCGCCTGCTGGCCTGGTCTTTACTCCCTACACTTTCTTATAGTTGCAGACAGTCTACTCTGAACTAGACCAGACCAAGTTGGAGCTGAAGTCGGCCCAGAAGGATCTACAGAGTGCTGACAAGGAGATCGTGGTGAGGGACATCCCTGGCCAGACGGGAATGAGGGGTTGTTTGTGTGTCCTCCGAGAGCCTAGGAACCTATGTCCCAGTCTGTGGCGGTGGTTCTGGGTTCCCTGCATCCTCCTGGCTCAGAGGGGGTCAGGATTTGGAGCCTGGGCCTCCTCAGTAGAGGACAGACAGCACCGTGGGTCTTCTCCTACAGCCTGTCCTGTACCTATATCCCCAGGGACGTAGCCTCACCACAGGAGAGGCTTCACCAGAGAGGGGTTCTGAGACTGGATGATGCCAGGCGTTCGGGATGTTGGAGGTTCAGGCCTTGCCCTGCTCCCAGTGGGCTTGCCTGTTGTGCATGTCATCCATGTCCTTGGCGGTCTCTCGGGGCTTGCTGCCTCAGCCTTCCTTTCACACTCTTCTCTTTCCTTCCCCAAGAGCCTGAAAAAAAAGCTAACGATGTTGCAGGAAACCCTGAACCTGCCACCAGTGGACACTGAGACTGTCAACCGCCTGGTTTTAGAGAGGTTTGTTGACTTTCTGGGGTGTGCAGGGGTCATAAGCTGGAAGAACTCCCCAGAAAGGGTCTTCACTACTCCTGGCTTTGGTTGGGTGGGTGGTCCGTGTGGGCCTGAAGGCTGTGGGCCTCCTGCCCTGGGACATAGCCAAGATGTAATTGGCAAACAGCTTTGAGGCAAGCTCTGGGCTCTGACAAGGTAAGGTCGGCCAGAGAGGACCTAGGGACAGGCAGGGAAGGGACAGGAGGGTTGACTGTCTGCACGCTTCCTGTTTATGGAATGCTTACCAAATGCATCTGTCTGCCCCAGATTCTGAAACAAACATGAAACCAGTCACCAAAATAAATTCCCCGCTGCTCTCAGGAATGTGTGCTTTAAAGCTGCCGGCAGGGGGAGCCAAGAGGCAGAGGGATAGGCGTCCCTGCCAGGACCGGCTGCCCATTCCTCCTGAGTGTTTCACAGAAGCTGACCAGCTAAGAGCCCCTCAGGGCTGTCCTGCCTAGCTGCCCAGCTGCTGGCCCAGACGGAAAGCACATAAGCCAGTGGCCCAGACTTTTATTTGAGTCACTTTTCAATGTCCTTTGGAAAATCATTATGCTCCTTCTTCCTCACATACAATCAATTGCTGGAGTCTGCCTGGCTAACCTCTGTGGTGCCTCCTGTCCGGATACCCGGCCACCACCTGAAGGTGAGGATGGTGACCATCCTCCAGCTTCTCCTGTCTGCCCAGGTTATCAGCTCCTGGGCTTCACGTCATTGCCTCTCCCACCAGACACTCCCAGACCTCTCGGCACTGTACCTGAGGCACTCGTGGAACCAGCCCGTGTGCACACACCCGGCGATGAGTAGACCGGGAGCCACATCTTGCTCTGTGTTCCTCACACGAACTTCCTTACACAAACATTCCTCACCGGGGAGTGAGTGCCAACAAGCCAGGGTCCTCTCATTCTCATCGTACCTTTAGTTCTTCAACCGTACTCTTCCCTTTTTACCTCAGACCCTCCAGCGTCTCCTCATGGAGCTAGAGCTGCCCGCCCACCCGTCTGGGTTGGACTGAGTAACAGCTGTGGGAGTGTGATTTTCTGTGAGGTCCAGTGTGTTGCCGATTTGGACAAACTAGACTCCGTGTCTGGTCCTTCCTCTCTACTCCACTCTCAGAGCCCAGTGGCCACGGCGGCTTGAAAGCCCAGGTAGCACAAGGGCTCTGTCAGGAGCCTGGCTTGTGGAGATCTGATAGTCTCAAAGGCCATCTCATGTGGTCAGGCATTTAGAACTCAAACTGCCTCAAGGCAGGAAGTAAAAATCCTTTTTCTAGGCTGTCACTCCAGGCTGCTATCTACAAGCTCCACCGTGCTCCCTGCACTTCCCACTCCGTGGGCCTCAGGGCATTTCCACACACTTGTGCTCTGTGTCTGGCATCCACAGTGAGGGATACCTCCAGGCTCCCTGGGACTCTGCATACCTGCTTTTGCTTACTTTCTTTACCACTCTGCACCAGAATGAGGCCTAGACTTCTGTAGCAGGTTCTCACTGAGGGCGCACTGTGTGTCAGGCCCTCTCAGTCCTCTTTGGAGCTCGTGGTCCAGTAGGGTAGACAAACTGGGGGGGTCAGATGGCGAACCCCCAAAGCCCCCGGCCATGACAGGCCACGGGGACAGGCCAGATCCCATGACAAGAAAAGTAGTGCTTATGCCATTTGTATCTAGAGGTTTCAGTGAGGGCTAAGCTCCGGCTCTTGGGGCCGGGGCATGTGGGAGCCTCCAGGGTGGGCAGCCCGGGCTGCCGGGTGTAGTGGGGTGTGGCACGGCTGCGGAGAGCGGGGTGTGATGAGGTTTATTGACCCTCTGGGGTGGGAGATAGCAGCAGAGGACTCGCTGGGGTTGGTAGATAGAGGCAGAATTAACAGATACTATAACAGTGTTGCTGCGAATGCTCTTGGCTCCTGCTTTATGCTGTGGCTCCCAGAGGGGAAAGCAAAGCAACCAGCATGGCATGGATTTGAGGTGGATTTGTGCAACCTTTGTTTTCACTTGCAGGCAAGAAGGGTAGAGGCTCCAGGGACCTGGCCAGGGAAAGGAAGAGATAGTCCAAGCTTCCCACATTACTTACCCACCCAAATCAGTGCAGGTAGTTTGCTTTCCTCCGATCCTCATGCCCCAGTGAGCTCCCGGCCAGGGACTCATACCCTCACAGGACATCCCTCTGTCCTTGAGCAGTGGGAGTAGGGCTTTGGAAACCCCCAATGACAAGGTCCCTAAAGGAAGGATGTTCTTGGGGCTGCCCTGCCACTCCCCGGAGTTGTCTGACCACAGGAGCGCCACCAGGCCTGGGTAGGCTGGAAAAATCCTAATAGCTGCAGTTTTCTAACAGAATACTACCAGCCCTTATTATAAAGGCAACAACATACTCATCATTGAGAATTTGGAAAATACGGGGACGCCTGGGTGGCTCAGTTGATTAAGCAGCTGCCTTCGGCTCAGGTCATGATCCCAGCGTCCTGGGATCGAGTCCCGCATCGGGCTCCTTGCTCGTCAGGGAGCCTGCTTCTCCCTCTGCCTCTGCCTGCCACTCTGTCTGCCTGTGCTCGCTCTCTCTCCCTCTCTCTCTCTGACAAGTAAATAAAAATAAAATCTTTAAAAAAAAAAAAATAAATAAAAATAAAAAGAGAATTTGGAAAATACGGACTTAGCACAGAGGTCGCTGTTGACATGTGATATATTTTCTTCAAGTCCTTTCTCTCTGTGTGGGGAAAGGTTGAGGGGAGATGTGTGTGCACCAATACTGTACTTTCCATAGAATTGTTTTCCCAAATTACAGTGGCAAAACATACCTGACAAAATTTACCAGCATTTTCAAGGGCACAATTCGATAACATTACATATGTGATGTGGTTTCATCTCCACCAGCCACCTCCGGAACCCTTTTCATCTTGAAAAACTGAAACTCTATACTCATTAAACAATAACTTCTATTTTCCAGCCCCCAGCACCCACCACTCTACTTTGTGTCTCTATGATTCTGACTACTCCAGATACCACATTTAAGGGGAATCATTTGGTATTTATCTTTTTGTGACTCGGCTCGTGATGTCCTCAGGGTTCATCCATGTTGTAGCAGGTTGGACATGTATAGCACATTTTGCTTATATGTTCGCTGCTGGCCGGACATCTGGGTTGCTTCCACCTTTTAACTGTTGTGAGTATGCAGCTATGAACATAGCTGTGTGGATGTCTCTTTGAGATCCTGCTTTCAGCTCTGGATGTATATCCAGAAGTGGAGCGGCTGGATCATATGGTAATTCTATTTTTAGCTTTTCGAGGAACTGCTGTACTATTTTACACGACAGATGTACCATTTTATATTCCCACCAACAGTACACAAAGATTCCAATTTTTTTTTCCAGGATTTTATTTTTAAGTCATCTCCATACCCAATGTGGGGCTCGAACTCATGACCCCGAGATCAAGAGTCACCTGCTCCGCCCATTGGGCCAGCCGGGCACCCCAGGGTTCTAATTTTACCACATGTTCACCTACACTTGTTCTTTTCTGTTAGTTTGGGTTTTTGTTGTTGTTTCTAGCAGCCATCCTCCTGGGTGTGAAGTAGTAGCTCATGGTAATCTTGATGTGCATCACCCTAATGACCAGTGACGTTGAGCATCTTTTCATGGGCTTCCTGGCCATCTGTAGATCTTTTCTGGAGAAAAGTCTATTCAGGCCCTGGGCCCAGTTTTGAACTAGCTTGTTTGTTTTCCGTTATAGGGCTTCAGTTCTATCTATCTATATTCTGGATTTTAGTCCTTTACGAGAGAGATGATTTGCAAATAGTTTCTTCCATTCTGTGAATCACCTTCTTACTCTGTTAACAATGTCTTCTTTTTTTTTTTTTTTTAAGATTTTATTTGTTTATTTGACAGAGACAGAGACGGCAAAAGAGGGAACACAAGCAGGCGGAGTGGGAGAGGGAGAAGCAGGCTTCCCATGGAGCAGGGAGCCCGATGCGGGGCTCAATCCCAGGACCCTGGGATCATGACCTGAGCCGAAGGCAGACGCTTAACAACTGAGCCACCCTGGCGCCCCATGTCTTTTTTTTTTTTTTTTTTTTTTAATTTTATTTATTTATTTGAGAGAGAGAGAGAGAGCATGGGAGCAGGGGTTGAGGGACAAGCAGACTCTGCTGCAAGCCCAGAGCCCAATGGAAGGCTCGATCCCACGACTCCCAAGATCATGACCCGAGCCAAAACCAAGAATCAGATGCTCAACTGACTGAGCCATCTGGGTGCCCAAAAAGTGTCTTTAGATGCACACAATTTTAAATCTTTTTGGAGTCCAACTTGTCTGTTTTTTCTTTTATCACAGAGTTTCATATTACTTTTTAAATGTCATGTATGAGCATTTCCCCATGTTATTAAGTTTACTCTCCAAAAACATGAGTTTAATGTCTGCATCATATTTAGGCTGTGAAAGTGCCAGCCCTCTGGGGAGTCATTTGACCATTTCCAAAATTATGCCATTTGCCGTCTCCATCAGTCTGTGGGCACATCTCTGGCCCCTTGCACTACATTCTGACAAATTAAGCTATTTGGTCAAAACGCAGCCTTTTGTTTGTACACTTGGGTTTTGTGTGTGTTTTGCTTTCTTCCTTCCATGTCTTGAAGACTTTCACTGGTCCCATGACTAAAGCACTAAGCCAAGTGGTTTTTTCCATAGAGGTTCAGGCTTCCTTGCGGGGTGGCCCTGAGCCAGATGTGGGCTCCAGACCCCTGGAACCAGGCCATCTCTGATGCTTCAGGGACTGTTGTCCTTCTGGACTGCCACGGTGGTCCAGAGTAACCAGGCCCACTCTGCCTATAGCCCAGCCCCTATGGAGATGCTGAGCCTAAAGCTTCGCCGACCAGCCTTCGGTGAGGACATTGACCTTAATGCCACCTTTGATGTCAACACCCCTCCATCCCAGGCCTCCAGCATCCATCATGGCCGTGCCAAGAAGCTCTGCCAAGAGATAGCACGGTAAGTAGTAGTCCCTGGCCCTGTCCACAGCCTCGAGGGAGGATAATGAAGAGGTCTCTGCTGGCCCTGCCCTTGTCACTCCAAGTGGCTGACAGGGCAGTGAGGGTCACCTGGGGTTGGCCATGACTTTGGTTCTGACCACCTCTTGTTCCCTCTCCTGAGTTCTTCTCTTGCTTATCGTAGTCATCACTATCACCCTTTAAGCAAATGTGCTGTAATGTGAGTTGGAGAGAACACAGGGGTCCCAGTAGGGTCAGGTCTGGGTTGATGATGCTGGGGGATATGTGTGCTCCCCATACCTTGAATGCCTGCCCACCGGCCAGGGACTCTGAACTTCCTCTTCTACTGTGTGCCTCTTGGGCTCATGCTTAGGACCATCTCAAATCATGGAGCCCAGGACTCTACCACCTAAGGGGGTATCCCATGGAGCAAGTATAAGAAACTGTGGGGAGCTGCAGGGGTTGGGTGGGACCTGTACTAGGGGTGTAGAGGACTGGGAATGCCTCCACGGACATTCCTTAATCAGAGACTTTGGAGATGAGAGAAAGAAATCAAGGTGTTAGGCAGTGAAGGTGGAAGACTACTGGGGAGAGGGCAAAATGGAGAGCCAGCTGGGTTCCCCATCTCTCCCCGCCCTCAGGGCTGGAGATACCTATGTCATACGGGGTCAGGCATGGTAGCCATGGAAAGCAACCCTTGGGCATATGGGCTGCCATCGGGACTTACAAGTGCCTAGGGCACTGGTTTCTTGATGTTGTCTCTTTTGCTATAAAGGGTAAGACATTTCTATCATCTTTAGGACCTAAAGGGAGGGTGGGGGAACCCAGGATGTTTCCACCTTGGATCCACCTCCCCAGGGCCAAACTTGCAACAAGTGGAGACTCTTCCCATGGTCATCATGTAGCCTCACCACAGGCTATGAGGGCAGGAGTGGAGGGCTCCAGAGCTGACAGGCCCAATCTTGGCTCTGTCCTCATGGCTTTGAGAAGCCACATGGTCAGAGCTACGTTACCATCCTTTTACCCACCTGGGTAAATACCAGGAGAGAGTATTCAGCTGCTAGTGTCCTCAGGAATTGGATGGAAATACTGTGTCTAGTTCTGGAGCTGGGAGTGAATGGTCATGGCCTGGGCCATGATTAGTTCTCCTCCCAGACCCTGCCTGCACAGATTATCTAGGAAGATGGCCTAGCCCTGTGTAATGAGAACACTTTCTAAGCTTTCAACCAAGGGTCTTATGGAGCTGGTGGCCCCTCTCTGGGCAAATGCGGCTAAGCCTTAGCTCACAAAGTGCCTTCTGCTTGTATAGACATGACTGGGTTTCCTCCTGTGGGTGGTGAATCAGCGGGGCCTCCAGGCCCACAAAGAGCCCAGGACATGCTATGGTGCCTGAGGCCTTGAGGAGCATTGGAATTGGCTTGGCTCCAAGTGGAAGCCACAAGACTGGAAAGTGTTTCAACTTCCCCCTCCCCACTTTGGCAGCTGTGATCATGTCCAACTGTTCAGAGATCTGCACGTGGGGTGGGGCTGACCAAGGGGCCTTGCCCAGCACACCACCATTACAGAAGCTGTGCCCCGTGGTGGCTCCCTAGGGCTGTGTGCTGAGCCTGGTTTGCCTGGCCTTGTGTCTTGCTCACCTGCCTCTTGCCTTCATGTCTCGCTCTCGCAGCTCTCCCGTTCAGGACATCCCCAAGAAGATGGCCAAAGGCCCCAAGCAGGTAAGGCTTCCCAGAAGAAGTCAGGCAGTCGCCATCCAACCCTTGCCAGGACTGAGTGTGAAGCTGGGCCGCTGAGGGGGCAGGGTCTTGCCAGAGACCTCTCATTCCTGGCCCAGGACTGAAATACTTCGGAACTACCTGGGAACTCTTCTCATTATCCTTTCTGCATCCGGGTGAGGTGCCAGAGGTCCTGGTCCTGTTCCACTGCCGCAACCCAGCCCCTCCTTTGCTGCCACCGGGCTCATCAGGTCTGGCTTTGGGGTCTGCCCTCCAGGAGTCCCAGCTCTCACTGGGCGGCCAGCGCTGTGTGGGAGAGCCGGATGAGGAGCTGGCCAGTGCCTTTCCTGTCTTCATCCGGAATGCCGTCCTCGGCCAGAAACAGCCCAAAAGAGCCAAGGCAGAGCCCAGTCGCAGCACAGATGCAGTGAGTATGGCTTCCCACAAGGGGCAAGTGCCAGTGCTCTTTGGTGGCCAGCCCCCTAGCCTATTAGCCTGCCCACTCACTTCTTCCTTCTGCTTTAGGTAAGGACAGGCTTCGATGGGCTTGGAGGTCGGACAAAATTCATCCAACCTGTATCCTTGTTCTGTAACATTGGGCAGAGCTGAGCTAGCCACACCATCCCTCACCTGTACCCCAGCCCCCAGCCTGGCAGTGGCTACAGCCTCAAGTGTGCAGAGCTAGACCTCACTCAGAGTAGAGCTGCCCAGCCCTCAAGCTTAAGCCTTTGCTGCCCAGTCTCTTCTTTAGGCCTCTTCCTTGACATCTTCTTCAGACGGACACGTCTACGATCCGCCCACTGCCTGTGAAACCCAAGCCCAAGACTAAGCAGAGAGTGGCGGCGAGACGAGTGCTCCCTCCCTCCCAGGCCAAGCTGGACACCTTCCTGTGGTAGTGAAAACAGTGAGCCAGATCAATGGCCAGATATTGTGCCTCCAAGTTACAGGCCAGGACTGGCTCTGCAGGGGGCGTGGGGGGCATGGCCCCTCTTCCAGGACCAGCCCCAAGGGCAAGGGTAGACAAAAAGATGGGGGTGAGGGTGAGGCCCAGAAGCCTTGCTTTTCCTGCACTCACCCTGCCTGTCCACCCCCCCCCACCCCAACTGGGTCTACCATACTGGGCCTACGTGTGGCTCCTTGTTGAAGGCTCCTGTTTATAGCCAATGTGCCTGGGCTGCTGCTGGTTCTCGAGACTAAGGTCTTTTGTTGACTGTGTGGACCAAAGTGCCTGGGGCTTCTTGGGCAATTTCAGCCTGCCCAAGCTTCTGCCTACTTCTGACTTGCTGCTAGGCATGGCCAGAGCTGAGCAGGATGGGGATGGTGATAGGGAGAGGATGGTTGGGCAGGGGAGGGGAGATTTCTATGTAAAATAAAAAAGATAGAATCTTTTCTTCATGGCTCTGGGAGTATAAATTTGTATCAACCTTTGACAAACCATTTGGCATAATTTTCTAAAATGGGAGCTTCACCTAGACTCAGACTCAGTAGCCCTACCCTGAGGCATGTGCCCCCTCATAGGGCACCAGGAGACCCCAGCAGGAATGAGATCACTGTAGTTTTTTTTTTTTCCTCTAAGATTTTATTTATTTATTTGACAGAGATCACAAGTAGGCAGAGAGAGAGGAGGAAGCAGGCTCCGTGCCGAGCAGAGAGCCTGATGCGGGCCTCGATCCCAGGACCCTGGGATCACGACCTGAGCCAAAGGTAGAGGCTTTAACCCACTGAGCCACCCAGGTGCCCCTAAATCACTGCAGTTTTGTCCACAGTCTCTAAGCTGGGCACAGACCAAATGCCATAGGCTGGAAAGCAATTAGGTAAACAGGTATAGCCGTACAGGGAACTCCCAGCAAGCAAAATGAATAATCTGTGACTTTTGGGTCTTAACTTCAAGAGTACTTTCTCCCAGACTTCCCCTTGTGACCTCTTTCTTGGCTGAGGTCTCCTATACTTCTCTTTCTCACTACTGCAAGGGGGTTCATCTCTCTCCACAGGGCCCAGCATGGGCCTGGCACAGGGAATGAAGGTAGGTGCCCATGTGCTTCATGCTGAGCACGCCCAGGTGCCTCCAGCGCATCCAGAGGGGCCACACAGAGAGAAAGTAATGCTCTTTGTGATGGGAGCCAGATTCTTCTGTTGCCGCCTTGAACCAAGGAGGTTTGGTGAGGAGAAGTGCAGCATCAAGTTAGGGGGCCCTCTGTGGCTGCCTAATAGGCTTTCAGGCCAGCTGAGTGATCTTAACAAACTCCCTACCTCTCGGGGTGTCTCCACTCCTTTAAACTGGGGACAATAGCCCTAACCTCCCAATTGTGGGAGCCTGATGAGTCAGCTTCACAAGATGAGAACTTACGACCCTGAGGAAATAAGTCAGACTCCAAAGACAAATACTGTATGATTTCACCTAAATTAGGAATCTAGAATGGCTAAATTCATAGAGACAGAAGGAGAATAGAATTGAGGTTACCAGGAGCTAGTGTGAGGAGAAAAGGAGGAGTTAATGGTTAGACAGTTTCTGTCGGGTGATTTGTTTTCTTGCTACATAAACTTCCCCCAGCCATTTATTTATTTTTTTTTAAGGTTTTATTTATTTATTTGACAGAGATACAGCAAGAGAGGGAACACAACCAGGGGGAGCGGCAGAGGGAGAAGCAGGCTTCCTGCTGAGCAGGGAGCCCAACGTGGGCCTCAATCCCAGGACCTTGAGATCATGACCTGAGCTGAAGGCAGAAGCCTAACAACTGAGACACCTAGCAAATTGAGCTGGGTGTCTGGGTGGCTCAGTTAATTAAGCATCCAACTATTAATCTCAGCTCAGGTCTTGATCTCAGGGTTGTGAGTTCGGGCCCAGCATGGAGCCTGCTTTAAAAAAAATTTTTTTTTTTTTTAATTCCAGGATAGTTACATACAAGGTTATATTAATTTCAGGTATACAGTATAGTCATTCAACATTTCCATACATTACTCAGGGCTCATTGCAATAAGGGTAATCTTGATCCCCTTCACCTACTTCTCCCACCTCCCCTCTGCCTGGGGTGATTCTAAAGTTTTAGAAATAGATAGTGGTGATGGTTACAAAATAGTAACAAAACTATGCTAGACCTAAATGCAAAGACATGGAAGGAGCCATTGTAATCAACTATTTCAGAACTCTGCTACCAGATCAGACAACTGGGAAAGTACTTGGTAGAGGAAAAGCGGGGCTTGACCCAGCCACTGTCCCTCATTCCTCATGGTGGTGTGGATAGCAGCTCCAGTTACAAAAGTAGCTGACCGGTGCTGGAGCAGGCAGTGGGTCTGAGTTCGTCCCCAGGTAGCTGGTCTCAGAATTCAGTTGAATTACAGGAATCGCAGTTGGCATTGGAGAATTGCTTGGTGGTATGGAATAAAACACACACGTAGGAATTAGTGTCAGAATCCTAAAAAATGATAGAGAAAATCAACAAAACCAAGAGCTGCTTCTCTGAAAGGTCAACAAAATCGGCAAACTTTTAAACAAATTGATTAAGAGAAAAAAAACAAATTATCAAAGTCAAATGAAAATGGGGATGCTGCAACCAATTCTACAAAAATGGAAAGGATTGTAAGAGAATATTGTGAACAACTGTACACCGACAAACTGGATAGCTTAACTGAAATGGACAAATTTGTAGACACACAGAAACTAACAAAACTGACTCCAGAAGAGAGAGAATGTGAATTGACCTGCAACTAGTCAGGGGATTGAACCAGTATTCAAAAAACTCCCAAGATGGGGCACCTGGCTGCTCAGTCAGTTAAGTGTCTGATTCTTGGTTTTGGCTCAGGTCATGATCCCATGGGTCATGGGATGGAGCCCTGTGTTGGTGGGGGGTCAGTGTCCGCACTCAGCGGGGAGTCTGCTTGGAGAATCTCTCCCTCTGCCCCTCTCCCAATTCACACGTGCACACACTCTTTCTCTTTCTTTCAATAAATCTTTTAAAAAAACAACTCCCAAGAAAGAAAAGCCCAGAACAAGATAGCTTCACTGGCAATTCTATCGAAAAATTTTTTAAAAAGGGTTAACACCAAAAAGACACTGTCCACATAGTAAAAAGGAAACCCAAAGAAAGGAGAAAGTATTTTTGAATCATATATCTGATAAGGGATAATATCCCAAATATATAGAGAACTTCTAAAAGTCAAAAACAAAAATCCAATTTGAAAATGGGCAAGAGACGATGAGATACCACCTTGCACCTGTCAGAATGGCTAAAATTAACAACACAGGAAACAACAAATGTTGGTGAGGATGCAGAGAAAGGGGAACCCTCTTGCAATGTAGGTGAGAATGCCAAATTATGCCTCCACTCTGGAAAACAGTATGGACATTCCTCAAGGGGTGCCTAGGTGGCTCAGTTCAGCATCTGCCTTGGGCTCAGGTCATGATCCCGGGGTTCTGTGATCGAGCCCTGTGTCAGGCTCCTTATTCTGTGGGAAGCCTACTTCTCCCTCTCCCACTCCCCCTGCTTGTGTTCCCTCTCTGGCTGTCTCTCTCTCAAATAAATAAAATCTTTTTTAAAAATGGAGGTTCCTCAAAAAGTTGAAAATATAAGTACCCTGTGACCCAGCAGGTGCACTACTAGGGATTTACCCAAAGGATACAAAACTACAGATTTGAAGGCATACATGCACCCTTTGTTCATAGCAGCATTATCAACAATAGCCAAACTATGGAAAGAACCCAATGTCCATCGACCGATGAATGGATAAAGGTGTAGTATATACACACAATGGAATATTACTCAGCCATCAAAAGGAATGAAATCTTGCCATTTGCAAGGACATGGAAGGAGCTACAGTGTATTATGCTAAATGAAAAAAGTCAGAGAAAGACAAATATCATATGATTTCACTCATACATGGAATTTAAGAAACAAAACAGAAGAACATAAGGCAGAGAGCGGGGGAAATAAACCATAAGAGACTTTTTTAAAAAAAGAGTTTATTTATTTATTTGAGAGAGAGAGAGCATGAGCAGTGGCAGGGGAGGGGAGGAGGGTACAGGAGGGTGAGCAGGGAGCCTGACAAGGGGCCCAATTCTAGAACCCTGAGATCATGACCCAAGCCAAAGGCAAATGCTTAACCAACTGAGCCACCCAGGCGCTCCACCATGATACTCTTAGAGAACAGACTGAGGGTTGACGGAGTGAGGGAGGTGAGGGGATGGGCTAGAAGGGTGACAGGTATTAAAGAGAGCACTTGTGATGACCCCTGGGTGTTGCACGTAAGTGATGAATCACTGAATTTTCCTGAAACCAATATTGTGCTGTATGTTAACTAACAAGAATTTAAATAAAAATTTGAGGGAAAAGGGCGCCTGGGTGGCTCAGTGAGTTAAGCCTCTGCCTTCAGCTCGGGTCATGATCTCAGGGTCCTGGGATCGAGTCCCGTGTCAGGATCTCTGCTCAGCAGGGAGCCTGCTTCCTCCTCTCTCTGTCTGCCTCTCTGCCTACTTGTAATCTCTTTCTGTGTGTCAAATAAATAAATAAAATCTTTAAAAAATTTTTTGAAGAAAAAAACAGACAAAAGACTGCAATAGACATTTCTCCAAAGACGCTGAGGGACCAATAAGCACATGAAAGATATTCAATATCACTAAACATTAGGGAAGTATGAATTAAAACTACCATGAGATACCACCTCACACCCATTGGGATGGCTAGTATCTAAAAAACAGAAAACAAGTGTTAGGAAGAATTTGGACAAATTGGAACCCTTGTGCACTGTTGGTGAGAACGTCAAATGGTACAGCCACTCTGCAAAACAGTATGGCAGCTCCTCAAAAAACTAAAATAGAATTACCATATCCATATTACCATATCCAATTACCATATCCAGCAATTCCCCCTCTGCGTATTTACTCAAAAGAACTGGAAGCAGGATCCCAAAGAGAGATTTGTACCACCATGTTCATAACACCATTATTCACAATAGCTAAAGAATGGAAGCCCCCCAAGTATCCATCCCCCAGTGAATGAATAAGCAAAATGTCGTACATACATCTAAGGACTATGATGTGGCTTTAAAAGGGAAAGAAATTCTGTAATCTATTACAATATGGATGGACCTTAAAGATATTTGCTAAGTGGAATAAGCCAGCCAGAAAAAGACAGTCTGGCCCTGATTTCTGTACCCAGTACATATGACACTCCCAGTAAATAGAAACAAGTCAAATGTCCATCCACAGGTGACTGGATAAACAAATCATGATATAGTCCTATGATGGGATATTTTTCAGCCGTAAGAAGGAACGAAGTACTGATACATGCTATAATTTGGATGACCCTCAAAAACATGCTGAGTGAAAGAGAGCAGATATCAAAGGTCA